AGCAGGAGACACAGCTCTTAAGATGCCTTGCCAGCTACAGTACACGTTTTGCAATGGTTGCTCAACCACAGCGCATGTGGGGCGAGGGTGCAGGAGGAGCAGCTCACAGTCAGCTCCCCCCAAATGGGATTTATTTTAGGTACGTTTAATGCAGAGGATTCCTCATCCCAACTGCCACTGCTGAGGAAGGAGAAAGGGTGGGAGAGCCGAAGGGAGAAGGGAAAGGCTGGTCTCAAAGCAGTTGCAGGCAGCCTGGACTAGTGATGCAGTACACATTGCTGGATCAGTGGTTGTCCTAATGCTGTGGGGAAACTTGGCAGCTCTGCTACCACTGTGGGCTGCTGAGACAAAGCCAGTGCGGAAACTCCACATGAAAAAAAAAAAAAAGAAAAAAGAAAAGAAAAAAAAGCCAAATGCATTATGACAGACCCAAAGACAATAACCTTTTGTAATCCAAACAAGCTGGGCAAACCAAGCCATTGTTGAGAAACTGAAAAGCTCCAGAGCACAGGAGAAGAGTAAAAATTAAGGGGGGGAAAAATCATACAGCTTCTAATAGAAAACACAGAAAGTGTCCTGAATTTTAAAATAAACAGTTCATCTTCCCGAGGCAACATCAGAGCAGAGAGTGTTTTGCGCCCTCTCACTATAGGATTCAGTAATTAAGTGTAAGAGTGGCTTTTTCTTCCCAGCATCACCCGCACATCTCTACATGTATATGCAAATGTCAACACACAGTGAAGTCACTGACCAAAAAAAGGGTCAGACAATTGATCTTCTGCATTGCAAGTGATAAAGGTTTGGCAGCATTTTAGATGGAGCTTTGGCCAGCCACTGCTTTGTACACTGACATCTTCTAGAAAAGGAATATATATGTTAATTTATTCTTCATGATAGATATTGTCCCTAGAAATAAATGCAGAACAGACATGTCCTTGGCTGCTGTGTCCTGATACATGAGTTAAATGTAGGAATTAGAAAGGGAAGAAAATAGAAGCAACCCCCTTGAAGTAGAAAATGACCACTGTGAAACACCAGCCACCTCAAACCACCATCTCTGAGGGCCCACCAAGCTGGAAATCTAATGTCTTGTCCACAGTCTCAACTATCAAAATTGACTCAGACTTTCGGATAAATAGAAACAGATTGCTTCTCCTCTGCTAAGGAGATCACTGCACACAATTTGATGGAAAACAAGGCTCCCTTGGGCAAACACCCTGCAAAAAGAAATGGATCCTTATTTATAAGGGCTTTGATTTAGATAAATGTATGCTGGTAGAGCAATTCCCTCACCATTTCATTGTCCTGAAGCAAAAAAACCCAAAGAGGTAACTAACTGATGCACTGGCTGTGGGCTATGGAGCAGCTAAAAGATTTTGATTCTTTCATTCAGGACAAAAAGATAGCCCCCATTTTCCACTTCCAGCCAGAAGTCAAAAAGAACAGCAGGGAGAGGTAGCCTCCTCACAGTCTCCACATGCTTTTGCTTGGCACAGGCCAGCCCTTTCTAGGACAACACTGAGGTGAATTCAGACTTGAGCTTTCAAGTCACAATTTAAGTATTTATTCCAGAGTAACTGCTTACAGCTAGGCATATCTGTGCTAAACTCGTGGTAATTTTTGCACTGACCATATTAGAATCTGTAACTGGATCAACATGCATCCCAACACTACAGGAAATTCAGAAAAATCAATGGGAAGAGCAACTCTCTTCTCCCCCCTGCCATATGCTAAGAGTACACACTCCAGTACTGAAAAACAATACATTGAATCAAATCTGCCATCCATTTAGACTTACCCAAGCTCTTCTACCTTACTCATTATTCTACACTTCAAATTTGCATTCCTTCTTATTTGTCTTTCTTCTAATGACAAACAGTATTAGCTATGCAATAATAATTTTGAATAAGGTGAAGTGCTATGCACAGATTCACAAATGAGGTACAAACTGATATATGAACTCATCTCTTTAATTTTTAAACCATTCCAACCCTGTATGCATCCCAACATCCAGCTAGTCATTTTGACTGAAAAAACCCCAAACATAGTAAGTAGAACTTCACTCAGCTTTTTGACATGGCTCTCAAGTTCATTTCACCTCTAGTGTGAAAAAGAGTAATTTTTCCCTCTTTATGCTTTACTGATATTTATCAACACCAAATTGGCTCACTGTGATGCCCATGCCCAGTGACAATGCGCAACTTCAACCATTCTAAGATAATTTCTTTTCCAGACCACTAACAAAGTGGGGAAATGCAAAACAGCTCCCACAAACATGGATGAACCCTCTCTGGCTTCCAACCATGGTGAAAGAACTCTGCTCTTACCGTCCTCTCAGGAAGTTCTTGGCCCATGATACTCCTGTAGCTCTCCCCAAAATTTAGAGTTGTTTTTGGTTGGTGTTTTTTTTTTTCCTCCCCTTTCCTCCCCCAGTAGTATCTCACATCTTGATAAATAGCTTTTGGAAGTCTGCATGAAGCCATTCTTTACTGATGCCTTCAGAGGCATCCAGAAGTTTAATAAGAAACCTCCCTTTGCATAAAGTGGGAGAATGTCTCACCATCTTCCAAATGTTTTCCACTGTTGAAGTCCTCAGTTGATCCAATGTTCTTATTCTATTCCTATTCTTTTGCTCATGCCTACAGCCTTTTTAAAATGTGAAGTCATCGTTCTCAGGGTGAGACTGCATATTTCTACTAGCAGCTGTTCAAGATGATGGACAATGAGTGTTATTCCCAGATTAACATGTTCTGCACTCCAGATAATATTAAACTTGGGTCATTATTCTGCCATTAAAACATCATTATATTTATGGTCTATAAAGTATGGTACAAATCAGAAGCATGTGGATTGTAGATGCATGTGAGCATCCAAGTCTCCAAACCTACAAGACTTCAGGCTTTTTAACCCCTTCCATATTTTCCCTTCCTGAAAGGGTATTTGCTAAGCTGCTCAACCACGAACAGCATGGATCTGAAGACCATTTGCATATACAGGGCCTTTGCCTTTACAGGTCACACACAGGAGCATACAACAGCAAGGATTAGCGCTTTTCTGAGTGAATGGGAGTCACTTGAGAAGGAACCTCTTGAACTGACACAAAACAGGGAAGAAATTTAGCCAGAGAAATAACTCATCTTCTTCCTGTATTCATTAGGTCAATGCTGTTCATTCAAGCCTTTTTATTTTAGGCTGTCTGTGACTTTTATTCAGACAAGCCTGTCTGTAAAACAATTCCTCAAGGGTTACCCAAATCAGGGGTCAGCTGCACTGGAGTGTGGGAGGCAGCTCTTCTCTTCTGCAAGCGTTCCTCAGAGTGCAAAGGCATGACAGTCCAACTGATGCAGATTCTGTAAAACGCTACTTCCAAGACAGCAAACTTGTTTAGCTTTCAAGGAGATCCCTGGCATGTCTTCCCCTTTATGCATTTCCTCTACTTTGAGTGCTCATATGTTAAACGAATTGGCTCTGGAGGGAGGTCAACTTATTTAAAACGTTAGCTTCTGAAAGAAACACAAATCTGAAAGGAGGAAATACCTTTCCCTTTAGTACACAGGCATACACCTCCATGTTTGATGTAGTTACACTAATCAGACACGTACAAAGCAGGCCTTGGTTGGGGAGAAGGCTGACCCCATGCTGAGAAGGACACATTCTTACCAGCCAGTCATGTTGAAGTCGCGGTAGAGCATCCTCTTCCCAACTTCCTTGCGCTGGACCCTCCGTGGAAACTCTAAATGTGTGAACTCATTTCCCAGCAAGTGGGGCTGCATGTAAGCCTGTAAGCAGAAACCAAGCCACAGATACCACACAAACATCACAAAACAAGACATCACCTATTTTTAATAAGGAAGCATTACCATCCCTTCCCGCTCCTTTTCCCACATACATTCCCCTCCCTGTCCCCTCCCCTTTTTAAACAAGGAAGATGATGAGCTCCGTTTCAGCAGACGATGTGCACATACATCAGTTCTAACACTGCCTGGTGCCCAGCAGCAGCCTTACAGGGCACAGTCCTCTTGCCCTCAAATTCCTTCACTTCTCCCTGCTCCTCAGCATTTGGGACTTCTAAAGCATGCCCCATCCACTGACCCTGAAGGAGCCTGCAGGGTTTCATAAAACAGGTCAGAGACCTGAGAGAAGGGAACGATCAAAGGACAAAGCCATGCAACAAGCAGAGACTCAGAGAGGTGTGTGTGGAGCGAAGCTCAAACTTTTTGACTCCCAGTTCAGCTATGCCAACAACACACACACCCTAATATTACTACGACACTTTGATTTTCACTGCCTTGAGAAAAATGTTCCCTTTTACCAGCTCAGTGCTGCACCCCATCACACAAGACACTGCAAAGAAATACAAGTGGCAGAGGACTTTATTTTCTTGTTTTCCAAAAACTACTTCTTTTGTACAGAACAGACAGAAAAGTAGCAGCAGTTTTGTGTCACAACTGCGACTGATGTTTCTGACAGTATTAATGTTTGATGCTGCCCTTTCTGGTGTTGCAGCTCTGCAGATACTGGCAGGCCTCTTTGCTAGAGCCGTGCCTGAGGCTCACATGCTCCAGAGCTGACTGTACTTGAGAGCATCGCGAGGCTCTTTGTCCACCACATAGATTTTTGGTTTGGATTTACAGAGAGATCACCTAGCATCATAGGTTAATCCTTAAACATACTGTATTTCTTCTTTCTGAAATAAACTTCGCTCATTTTTCTCTGATATTTGCATAAACAAGCCTTTCCACTCTCTCTCCAAAGCTGCACCATGAGCGAGCTCCTCTGAAGACACAGGCAAATTGGTTAGGGACCTGAAAAAAAGTTGCATTTCTTAACCTTTGTGCAGATAACTTTGTCCTTATCCAGCCAGTTATGGCAATAAAGTCTCTCTTATCTCCAGCAGCAGCTGCTGTCAGGGCAGACCAAATGAGCTGGTTTTAGCTTGTGGGTTTGTCATAAATCTAGTGCTCATCAAAGGTGAGTAGCAGGAAGCAGTGGAAGCGCTTATTGATCTACCTGGCAACTATCATGCAGATAGTTCACAATAAAATATTTCCTGCATTTAAGGGCCGAGCCCGCTCCCACTCAATTTCATAGGAGTTGGATCAAGCTCAGCACATCACAGCCCTAACCTTCCATCAGCTTGTCCCTGTTCCCATTGCCAGACATAATTCCAGAAAACACCCGAGCTCGGGTGAAACAGGGCTGAGGGAGATTGCTGCGTGTAGCCAACGAGATTGGATTCTGCTTCCAAGAGGCAGCTTTTCAAGCACGCAGGTGTGATCTTGACATTGTGAGCCCTTCCTGGAACAGGAGCTCCATCAAATTCTCTCTCTGTGTAGAGTTAAGGGAATTACATTTTCTTCCTGCAGTCTACACTCAGCCAAGGTCCCCTCGCCCACCCAAATACTGTTTTCAAGGACCCTTTAATTGGAGCACTGTTCCTCATTACAGAAATGGTTGAGAAGCACTAGTGACTTTTGAGAGGTTTAGCAGTATTAGTCCAGATGAGGTTTCCCATACTTCCGTAACTCTCGATTCTTTATTTAAAAATACAGATAAACTTTCTACTTATTTTCATTCCAGTTGCAAAAAAGATGGAACATCCCTAATGATTGCTACGCATTGACAGCAGAGCGCTGGACTCTTTTCGCCACTTTTTAATTCTTTCTAGCCTATGATATTGTAAACAATGAAGTCAGTCTGCTTTGAAAGTGCAATTCAGTTCACTTTTAAAAATGCACAACCTATCTTGATTGAACCATTACAAACCACTTTTAGCTAAAGACTACTGTCGCCGGTCTACAAAACAAGAAGCCTTATTTAAAGCAAGAAAACTCATACCTGACATCAAAATGAAGTTATTTAACCTTTAGATTATGAGATTACTTAGTAGGCTGGATCACAGGTCCAGAAGAAAAAAGTTACAGGCTTTTAGCATTTTTTCCCCTTGAAAACAAGAATCTCATTTATTGAAAAGGTAAAGCGATTGGGAGAGACTGCATTTCATAAAGATTTACTCAGATGGAAAGTCTGAGGTCACAAGTGAAATAAGATTAATAAAGCTGGCAGAGTTACCAGTGGACTGCTAATGTTCAAATAAGATTTCTCTTCCACAGCCAAGCCTCAATGCTTGATTTACAATCCAGGGATCTTAACGTGATTCTAATATTTTTGGCATCAGTGGAACACAGGGAAAAGAGCAATTTGGAAGCTTCTGGTGCCTGTGAGCTGAATTCTTATGTGAAGAAATAGGGATTTTTGTTGAGCTTCCCCCCACCCTTTTTCTAAATTTCCCATTTTTTTACCTTTTTTTTAACAGTTATTTTTGATGCTTCACTGGTAATTCTGCAAAGAATGTTCTATTATAAAACTCAGCTGCAACTTCCAGTCAGGTTTGTTGAGAACTACTCTCCACTTACTCTGAGGCTGGACTCTCCTCTCTCTCCACCCCAATCAAACTATACTGGGCAACAGAACCAGAAAATAAATAAAAAACAGTGTTTTAAAAAGTCTACAGATCCTTCAAGTAGATACACAAACAGACACCATGAAAGACCCTCAAGTGATCAAACAAGAAATAAAAAATGGTAAGTGAACTGACTCAGAATTTCATCTGTGAGGAGGCACTGTATATTTTCCGTTTGTTTAGTCTCGATTTACAAGAACCTCAGATCAGAAACGCCATTCAGAGAACTTAAAATGTAATAAAAAGGGGACTATCAAACATGTTGTATATCCTTATGAGGTATGTTCAGACAACATTGTTATGCTGTGTTATAGAACTGGAATATTTTCCATCATTTTTCTTTCAGAAGCTATTACAGATTTTTGGCATAGATCTGGCATAGTCTGCATCATGTGTTTTTGGTACTCTGCCATTTTATGGTGTACTCTGTGGCTAGATGTATTACATTCAACATTAGTTGTTTAAAATGGAGTCTGCTCAAGGAAATATTAGTCATGTTTCTTTCAAAAGGCCATTTGCTTCCTGCTGTGTTTCCTGGTGATCAGCAAAGCAAACATGAAATTAAGATAAACCTAGACTTACACACTTAGTGTGCCAGTTAATTAGGTGGCAGGGAACACTGCCTGTATCTTATTGTACCTCCGTAAGGCCTGCTGATGCCTTTTCCAGTTCCTCCAGGACGCAGGGCTCTGGGACATCACTGGCACTAAGTGGTTTCACTGTATTCTGTGCTATTTTCAGGATTGCTGTTTTCCCCTACATCAAGTGTATCTTACAACTTCATCCTCTTATCATATTCTGCCACTTTATCCAATAGGTTATTCTTCTATATAGGACTACTGCTCAAAACAGCATGTGCATCACAAAGCATCCAGGAGTTACACAAATTACTCAGCCATTATCATAGAATCATAGAATCATAGAATGGTTAGAGTTGGAAGGGACCTTAAAGATCATCTAGTTCCAACCCCCCTGCCATGGGCAGGGACACCTTCCACTCGACCAGGTTGCTCCCAGCCTCATCCAGTGGGCTGGCCGCACTCAC